AGTATAATTTTTTCCCTTATATAAGAAGAAATTTTGCCAATTATCGGTACTGATATAAATTGTGTTATCAACTTTCTCAAATCCACAGGATTGATCAAGGGGTGCATGTCTTGGGTTTATTGTTATAGAAGTATGGATTGGCGAGCTTGTAGTAAGACCAAAAATAATTTGTTTGGAAGTGCGGAAACAAACAATGTCTTAGGTTTAAAACTACACTTTCAATCAGAAACAATTCATTTTTTGAAAAAAACTCGAATTGATTTACAAATGGGTGTATACGTCATTTACCATAAGAGCATAAACACTTTGCATAAAAATATTAGCATTTTAACGGGACCAGGGCACGATAAGGTAACCGAAATGCGCAGAACTTTTAGAAGTGCATGTGTAGAGTTATTTATTAGAAATTTGATTTTCCTTGGTGGTTCTGTCATTATATGCCAAATTGATGAAAGATCGTTTTTTCACAAGCAAAAATATCATGGGGGACGAACGCCAGAACATCAAGTCTAGGTTTTTGTGATGGTTGATACAAGTTATTTATCGGCAAGAGGATACATGGAGATTGTAGCCCAAAGAGACAAAACTACCATCCTTTATACTTTTCAAAGAATTTGTTTGCCCGGTATGATTATTTATTCAAATCAATGGGCTGCATATAAGGATATTACAAGCTTGGAGGTTCAGCATTATACAGTAAACCGTTCTTTAAATTTTGTTGATTTTGATTACGGTGTCCATACGCAACATATTGAATCGTATTGGAATAAGAATAAAATTTATATTAAAAAAATGAAAGGCGTTAGAAAACAAGATTTTAATTTATATCTTGCTGGGGTCTTCTACACGAACTTGCCTATCTTTTTTTCAACCTAAAAATAGGGGCTAAAAAAATAAAAAAAATAATAATTTAAGAAACCGATAGGCACAGCAAGCTGGTAGGCAAATTCGTGAAGTTAAGCAACAACCCCGATATTTTTGTATTTTAATCGGGGGCATTACAAAAAACTGATGTTGTTTTTAACCTTAAAAATAACACCAACCTCAATACTACTAACCCAATATTACTACCTCAATATCATTTTGCAAAACCACCCAACCCAACTATCTAACCATCAACCATCTCATACAACTACTTATCCCAACCACCCAATCTAACGGTATCTAATCTAACCCACCAAATCTAATACTACCTAACTAAATCTTACCAAATACATCTGTATTTATAAAAACAAAAAGTTGTTTTAATTATATAACAAAAGCACATATAAAACTAAATTGCCACTAAATTATTTAAATAAAATATTAATGATTCCTTTTAGAAGGGCAAAAGGTTTAATTTTAAAAATAACCCCTATGAATATTACAATAGAACATAAAATTTTTCAGTATTTGGATATGCTAAAAAACTTTTTTATAAGAAATAATAGGAGTAAATCGGACAGACCGGTATTTTTTGATATTTTCAAAATCCGAATTTTTTTAACCCCTTAGCTGACAAAACTCAAAGAGGAAGAGGAGTAACAAGAATTTGCAAGTGAAGTCAATAACATTATAACAATCGTAATGTTATAACTGCGGTTCAAGTACACGTAAACTGAAGGAAAAGAACAGGATTGTCTGTTTTTTCTGCATGTAAGCGTAGGTCCACTTGCTATAAAGGAACAATTTTTGAAAACTCGCCACTTCCTTCTATTACTATAATAAAAGTAATAGATATGTGGATTGAGAATGTTCCTTGTGATCTTTTTGCCAAAATTACAGGAATTTATAGATCTTTGGTCTTTGAAATCTGCGATAAGCTACGATCACTGGGTATATTAGACTTATATTTAAATAAGTTTGATAAAATTGGCGGAAATAATGCGATAGTTGAAATTGACGAAAGTAAATTTGGCAGGAGAAAATACAACAGAGGCCACAGAGTAGAAGGCGTTTGGTTTGTGGGAGCCGTCAAAAGAATTAGCAAAAGATTCGTGCTAAGATACGTAGAAAAAAGAGGCGGCTATACTTTAACGACGTCTTGTAAAAAATACATTAAAAAAGAAACGACTATTTATAGTGATTAATGAAAAGGCTATTCAAATCTTTCCAAGGAACTTTTTAAACATCAAACTGTAAACCACTCAAAACATTTTGTTGACAAGCAAACTAACACGCATACCAATACCATAGAAGGTAACTGGAGTGAAATAAAAAGAACAATCTTAATAAGAAACAGAACATGGGAATTAATTGATATATACTTGTTAATATTTATGTTACAAATAAACGAAGGCAGAAACAGTCTAGAGGTCTTATTAAAATTTTTTTATTAATATTTATTTATAAATGGTTTGTTGATTTGTAAATTTATTTGTTTTTTATTTGTTTACTTATTATTTATTTGTTAATTGTGCATAGATTTTTCAATTGAAAAATTGGGGTTAAAAAATTTCAAATTTTGGAAATATCAAAAAATACCGAACAGGCCAACTTTAACCCCGCATTTCTTCTTTCCACCCCAATAACAACCATTCTTTTTCATGGGTTCTTTCTATCAATCTACGTTCCCAAATCCTGTAATTACATGACTTCTATTGTGTTTGTTCTTTCATATTTTAGTTTAATCTATTTCTACAATACAATTTTCTCACCCAAATGTCTGATTGATTTTAGAATAAGATTATAAATTCAAAACTACGCATAATACAAAAAATATCCCAAACTTGATCTTTTGATTTTTAAAAATAATAATTATTAAATCAACTGACGCTTTAATTGACAACATATCTATAACTTTAAGAATAAATAAATGACTGGTTCTAATAAAAAAAAAACAGTTTTCTTACAAATGGACATTGTATACTTATATTTAGGTCAGGTACAAATTAAAGTAGTATTGTAATTATCTCGTGTATTAATTTGTGGCCCAAAAACTTTTATTCTTGTTTTATTAGAGCATTTTTGGCAGCATTGTTGGGATTTTATACTTATTAAATTAAAATAAAAATTATTTAATTTTTCCTAATTTATCATTCTCGCATTTTTGAAGTTCATTTTTAGAGGAAAATTTTATAAAACCCTCCCCAACCCACTTTTTGTACCATGGATAGCAGTTTAGCCAGTAGGTCAAATGAAGAAACTTCGACATTATAATTCTAGATAAGTCGGCTCCTATATATTTGATAAGAATTATATTGTCTTTACAAGAACTGCAAGTATACCCATATCTTCTTAATATATACTATCTTTATAGAGTGTAAAATAATCATCACTCATACAAGTTATTTCTTAACATTTGATGTTCACGAGGCGTCCAATATTTTCTACTAATTGCATTGCTTACCTTTCTACAAAAAAAATTTCAAAATTTACTTCATAAATGTTAGCATACCTCTCTAAAAGTTTATTCTTAAGAATAAATTTAAAAAATGGCATGCTAACATTTAATAAGTGTGCGCCAAAATCGTGGAAATTTACTGAATAATGTGGTTTTTTTGCTCCCAAATCCTCTTCTTGGCCAATTTTTTAGTTAAAGCCCTTCTATTTTATATAAATAGATTAATAAAATTTTTTCTCCCCAAATTTTAATATTCAAAATAATAAACCTAAGTAACAATTTACTTGAGTTTTAAATAAAAATTTTTATGGTTTTTAATCAACATAAAACGTAATAAATATGGCAATATCATGATTTTGGTTTGACATCAAGATGGTGTTTGCTGTTTAGTTGCTGCCCAATTCCCTTCTATAGTGTTAGTATGCACAAAGGTTGTTGAATCCTTAAAAAAAGGCCGTGATTTATTGTCATGTGTTTTTTATTGTGAATTTAACTTTATCACATCACTTCCAATAATCTGAATAAATAATAGATTCTTTATTTGAAAGTTTAAAAATTATTTTATTCAATAATAAGGAGGATCTATTAGGAACTGAAAACAAAACGGTTTTACAATTAGTGATTCTTTCAATTACTCCAAATCCCAAACACCACGACTACATGTCGTCTTTGGTATTCGCGTTTTCCAAATTTACTTTCATCAAGTTCAATAATCGTATCTGGTCAACCAAATAATTATCTTTTTTCTGTAAATACTTAAAATATAGTTTTTCTGTTGTTACTATTTTTAGAAATTTTGTTATCACAAACGACCTTACACCTAAAATCTTAGAAATATGTAATGGTTTTAGTCTTTCCATCCATAAATTTTAAACTTTCAAGATTAAAAGGCGAATAATCTTTCGTCTTTCAAAAGCAGTATTACTAAATAAACTTCTTTCAACACCAAATTTTTTATCTTTGCAACGTATTTTGTTTTGTTTACATAAACGTAATTTAACTTCTTTCCCACATTTGTTGTAAGTTCTTTTTAAAAGATGTTTTCCTATAAAATCGTAAATTTTTTGAAGATTTTCTTCGCTCTGCATTTTAAAATTTTGGGGGTAAAAAAATTTTATTAACCTATTTATGTAAAACAGGGGGCTTCAACTGAAAAAACTCCGACACTACAATTATTTAATAAAAGATAAAATTTTTTAGCAACATGGTGCTCTCTAAACACAAACTCCGATAAAAATGTTTTCCTCTGTTCTATATTTATCCCTTTTCTGTCTTTTATACTATACTTAAGCCAATTACTATATGATTCAACATGCTGAGTGTGCACACCAGATATTGGATCATTAAAATTATATTAATGACAAATACTATTGTAAGTATATAAATTAGATTTCGCAAGGCTGTTATGAGCTTTCCGTTCGTCAGAATGAATAATATTACCTAGAATCATAATTTATCAATAATAAGAAGAAGTACATTAGCAGAACGAGATTCAACAATTGTTAATACCCCAAAGTTGGTTTATGTGTGTGATGTATCAACGATACAAAAACACCAACAAGGTAAGAATGGTCTTCCTCTCTGACTTTTTTACATTATGATTTATTTTTTTGATCTATCTAGGCTATAATATTGGGCCTGTCCAGTTTAATTGGGTTTTCTACAAAAAACATACTTATTTAATCAATAATAATTTCCTAAATTCACGCCATTGATCGTTTACCTATCTCGTTATACTTCAAGATTTTATCAATTTTTTCTTTGTGTGCGTAAAAACATGCTATCCTTAAAATGGTCTTAATATCTGCCTTAAAATTTATGATACAAGAATTAGACCTAATTGTTTTGGTTGTTTGGTAATGATCACAACAACAAAACACACTCCCTCATTCAAAACGATTCAAAACATTTATGTTTTGTTTAAACAGCATGTTTTTATTACAATACTTACAAAGTTATCATTTTTAATTAATTTTTATTTAGACAATTTGTCAATCAATTCAAAAGCCGCTTCTTAAACAATTTCTTCAAGTTAAAAAAAAGTCATTAAAGGGTAAAAAAATTAAAAAACAAGGTGCATGCATACGCCCCCGGGTAAGGCAACATATGGTCACCGATCCAAAAACTTTTATAAAAATTCATATCATCGTCTCTATTAGGCGATAATAACACGATTTGTAAAAGTAGAAAAAACAACCATAAAATGAATTTATTTTTTGCAAAATTATTATGTTTTGAATAGGCGGAATCTCGGATTGCTGGGGTTGACTGTATCAAAGACTCGCAGGCAGTTTATTTATAGCGTTAATTATATTTTGTTTATTCCAACCTAATATGTACGCCATTTGACCATAAGAAGCATCTGTAAATCACAAATTTATTATTTTAGGCAATAAAATATTTTCAAAGTGTGTGTGTTCAAACAAGAAATTTTTCCAGATAGAAAAAAACAATCTGCACCTTTTCCATTTGCATCGTAAAAAAGCACCATCGGAGCATTCTATTTGCGTATCAAACGCGCGACAAGGACTTTTTGCCTCTGCTTTGACGATTTTACTTCAAAATACAAATCTTGTAATTCTTCGTTTGTCATCACAATTCTTCTCATTTTTATAAGAGGGGTTAAAAATAAATTTTTTGCCCCCCTTAAAGTCGGTGTCCGGTTAAAAGATCCCCCTGTAAGGGATCTTTCAGCAAAAAATATAAGATGGAATATGTTATTTTAAAATTTTACATTTATATAAGACAATAATAGATTTTTTAGTAACTGATAATGTATTAATTAAATAACTAAAAAATTAGATAAACAAATGATTTTATGGGTTACTAATTAAACTACAAAAATCAATAATTTAAAACTTTAATAACAGAAAAAATAAACTCGCATCCATAATTACATTCTCTAGTTTTCCTTAAAAAAAGTTTTGCTTCTCTATCAAAATATATTCGTTTCCGTTTAAATATCACATTTAACTTTGTTTTTTGAATGGATATAATTCTTACAACGTCTTTTTCATCTTTTAATTTACTGATAAATAAATAAAAACTATAACGACCCTTTTCAAATGTATTTATAAAAGTATTGTGCTGTTCTTCCATTGCATTATTGGTTTTCGAAAGTTTAATGTTAAAATATAATGCGATTGCCAAATGTCAGGTGGAAATTTACAGCAAATATCAAGATATGTGAAGTAAAAATGGTTGTAAGTTTTTCTAAGCAAGAGAAAAATCTAGATAGTTTTTAACTCTAAAAATAAATTATTTATTTCGTCATAATCAACATAAGCTAATGCATTTAATGCTAAAATAAACCTTCTTACTTTTCTGTCAGATGAATAAATAGATGACAAGCCAGAGCTTTTAATTGGTATAACTTAAGCCAGTGATGGATAAAACAAACAGCACGAAATTCGACAACTCGTAAAATCATTTGAAATGCAGAAATTGCTGCATATTCAAATTCCATTTTTAGTATTTGTGAATTAAACCCGCGAATTGACTGCTATAATATTGAAAACAAACTTATGTAGATCTAATGGCTTTTATTTTTTAATATTGAAAAAACAACGGGAAAAACATGGTTATCTGGGACATAGTTTATAGTATACAATTGAAAATATGAAAATAAAATCATGCTAAAAGTACCATCAACGGCCCATAAACCATTATGTCGCAGTTTTTGTACTGCTGATTCTGAATGAAACAATAATAAATCATAGTTTTCTTTAAAATTGCCGAGGTTTTCGGGTCCGTATTGATAGAAATGGTCTCCCGTATGAGTAACTAATAAATTTGCAGCCGGTCTCAAGGTCTGGTTTGCATATGATATAGGATTAAGATGCTTCATTCTTGCATTGCGCAAAATTCTATCAATCTGATCAAAAGATTCTAACGCCCCAACAAAATCACAATTCGCTTCTCTAATAGTCGAAAAATATCATTTTTAGGCGCTTCAGACCTAGAAATTATTTGTTCTTTCACTTTTTCTATTGACGGTTTACGAACGGCCAACACTAAATCGGGAAGATGGTTATGACCAGATGTAACACCAAATGAAGAAAGATTAGTAACATAACTGAGATTTATAATACCAGACGCCGAACAACCCATATTTATACACATCCCCCGATAGTTTCTCGATTAATCCATCCTTTTTGTCAAAAATATATTTACCAAAGTTGATAATTTGATCTATTCCTTTCTGGCTTTTCACAATAATTCTCATTTTAAGTGTTAAAAAATAAAAAACTTCCTTTAGATTTTTTTAACCCTTAAAATCGGGATCTTTTGCGTGGGGCCGTAAAAAACTGGCAGGAAGTTATTCTGTAGAATATATCTATCTATCTGCATTGATTAATTTGTTGTGTGGTGTAGTACATTAAAAACTGTAATAATACAGAAAATCGACTTTTTATCTATAACATTTACATTGCCACCTATCAATAATTATACAAATATAAATGACATAAGATATAATACAAAAATTTCAATCAATAAAAGGATGTAAATTTGAGTTTAAAAAATAAAAAAAATTATGGTCGCGCGACAATTAATATCTTAGGATACACTATAGTGTTGTAAGGGTCATTAACTCCAGATAAATCTCGAATAGGTCCATTAGAAAGAAATTTTGTATTAAAAATATCAAGCAGCTGCAATCTGTTGTAGACCGTCCTTCTACAACATAAAAATAAAAAAATTTTATTTTGGTATTTTCTTGAAAAAAATTATTTATTATAATTTTTTTAAAGGAGGTTATTGAAGATGATTAAAGACACTAAACAAAATTTATTTAAAAATTTTAAGAATCATTTAAGTGCAGGTATTGACATTAGAAATGTTATTGGGTGGTATTAATTCGCCGGGAAGCCTTCTTCTGTCTTCCAGACAATCAATTATGGGACTTCTGGGTTTCTATCGCATGTTTGTAAGAAATTTTAGTGAAAAGGTTTTAGATATATATCGCACGATTAATGAGGAAGGCCCTGTTTTGTTAAAGTAAAAAGTGAAGTCGAAAATCTCAGGCAAGAACTCATTAAATCTCCATGGCTGGGGTTACCAGATATGAAGCCGATGCATTCGATTTATGTATCGGAAGTATGCTTTTACAGATTCAAAATGGCAAAGAAGCAATAATTCGCTGTTTCAGTAGAGTACTTAACAACCCTCGGCGTAACTACACGACCTTCGAAAAAAAGCTTTAGCAATAATATATGCTATTAAAACCTTCAAGATGTACTTACATTATGAATTTCATAAAGGGTGCGACCACAAACCACTTACGTGGTTATACAAGATGAAAAATTCTCAAGGAAGAATGCCTGATGGTTAATGTTTTTGAGCGACCTAAAATTTAAGCTAGAATACAAAAGAGGAAAATTACATATCTTACCGGATCGCTTATCAAGGGTGTGTGTCACAACGATTAACTCTAAGATGGCCAGTGAAGAACAAAATTTAATCGAGAAGTTCATCACTACATAGATCACAAAGGAACTGAGGCAACTATTTTATTTCTTAAATCGCACAATTTGATTTTTGGAATGAAAACTATTGAAATCAAAATATCATAAAGAATTGCAAGACGTGAATTGAACATAAAAAGCTGCGTAAGGGGTTTGTAACATTTTCAGCATTATTAGGGTCTGCATTACAAATAATTAGGATAGATTGTATGGATCCTTTGTCAAAATGTGTATCTAGTAGAAAATTTGGATCTGGTCTAATATCTGCCCTTTTAGGGCAGATATTAGACCAGATTTATTTTTTACCCCTTAAATGAGAAGACAACAAACAAGATTTGAACGGTTGATGATAATTCGTCAAATGAATACTGAAAATGTCATTAATATTCTACGATCTAAAAATTTATTGCTTTCTTATTTAGAATGTGAAGCATGTATGCTGCCAATGGTTGAAAGATCTAGAAAAGTTTTAGATGGGGTTTGTTGGGTTTGTACAAATGCTAATTGCTATAAATTTAGAACCACAAAAAGTATACGGACAAACTCTTTCTTTGATAAATTTAGGATTTCTTTATCAGATATTTTTTCTGTTGTAATAGACGAAGTGCATAAAAAGCCGTCTGAAATTTTTTGTTTTTATTGTTTGGGGAGATGCGTCTGGACATGGAGTAATAAAAATGTTATTGGATGCGCAAAGAAAAAGTGCAGAAGAAAGGCTCTTCTCTTTAGAAAACCCCCGTTTTATGATGCAAAATAATGCTGGAAAAAAAATTACAGAGCCATTTTTTTAATTCTATATACAAATTCTGTCAAAACCATATGTTCAATAACTGGTATTAGCAAAAAGGCAGTCAGAAAAATATGAAAAGGTCGGACACTATTTAAAAAGACCTCGGATGATAGGCGGAGAAGGCATCGTCGTCAAAGTTGACAAAAACAAGTTTGGCAAACGGAAATATTACCGTGGTCATGGTGTTGACGGCGTTTGAGTACTCGGAATGGTTGAAAGATTATCTTAACGACGCATTGTTCTACTTCATTTAAAAAACGAGATAAATTTACTCTTAATACTTCAATTACCAAATACGTTCTAAAGGAAGTATTATACATACTGATGGCTGGAAGGGTTATAGTGGGTTAACATCTCTTGGATACAAACATTATACGGTTAACCATAATAAAAACTTTAAAGATCCAGAGACCGGCATCCATACGAATACTATTGAAGGAAGTTGGTTTGCTTAAAAAACAATTCATTTGAGAAAGAGAAATTATACATTAATCAAACCTTATCTTAAAATCTTTATGTTTTCAAGACTGTTTGGTGAAAAAAAGATTTAGAACTTTTATTAGACTATTATTAAATATTTGAATAAATTTTTTTATTTTCAAGAACCCCTTTAATTTTTTTTTCATGAACACATTAAGAAAAAAACCAGAAAATAATTCAAATTTCGGCGCCGCTTCATCTTTCCAACCGCCCTATGAATAACTATGTACAAAATTTTTTAAAGTGAACGTAGTTATTCGGAGGGGGATGGAAAGATGGAGTAAAGGTAAAAAAAATTATTTTTTAACCCTTATTATGGATCAGCTAAAAGAAATAATTTTATTTTTTAATTTGGTGAAGCATTTTTTTTAAAATACTAAGACAATGGATTTTTTTATAGAATTTAACATTGTAAAAAAACAAATAATTTGTTTGAGGTGTGATGGAAGAATGAGGATTATGGTGGCTGCCACGTATATAGACAGGTATGCTTACAGATGCTCTTCTAAGGCATGTAGATCAAAGGCAAGCCTAAAGAAGGGGTCTAAAATGGCCTCCCTGAATATAAACTTTGTAAAAATTCTTAGGCGAATGTATTGCTAGCTATATGAATATACCCCAGCACAGGCAATTGATTTCTGCGATTGTTCGGAAAACAATTACATTAAAATCAAAGATTTGATTTTGCAAGTAACTTCTGAACAAGAGCCAAAAATGGTTTAAATGGGTGGAGAAGGTATTGGGGTGCAGTTTGACGAAGCTTCTATCTGTAATGGGAAGTTAAAACCCAACCCATCTAGTCCTCTAGACAACAAGCCTAACGTACAATGGTTAGTAAAGGATGTAGAAGAGGGAAATTTTAGGAACTTTGTTCTTAAGCTTGTTCTTAAAAGAAAGGTTCCGACTATATTAGACATGTTCGAAGAACGTGTTGTACCCGAATCTATCATTATTATTGATGGTTATCCACCTTACCCCGGGCCGTTGCTAAATTTGGATCTTGCCATGAAGTGGTAAACCACTCTGTTGGGTTTTTAATGCTCAAAGGGCACATACGAACCCAATTTAAAACCCGTGGTCTCATCTTAAGAATACTTATCGAAAACGTGGCGATATTAATAAAGGGAAAAATAATTGTTTTTAATGAATGGAAATGGAGGGAAAAAATATCAAAAATAGCGGTAACAGGACGCTAAGGTTAACTTTTTATAAATTAATGAAAATGTTTAAGAACTAATTCTTTTTAACTAATAGTCTTTTAAATATATATTTTAATTTTTGCACTAATGAAGGCGGAAGTGGAAAGATGAAGTAGCGCCAGATTTTTTAATTAAAGCAGATGAAAACGAAATTTTAATCTTATTGTTTGGATAAAATTTAATCAGAGATGAAAAGATTTGTAAGCTTTGTTTTAAAAATATGCGCCTCATGCATAATTCTAAAATTTCCGCCAGGTTTGAATGGAAATGCTGCTTTTACGGTTGTCATTACTATCGAACAACTATCTCCTCGCGGTTCAATTCTTGCTCTATTCTTTTAAAAAGAATATTAAATAATACTAAAAGGAAATTACTACTAAACGTATGGTGAAAATTATTCTAAGATCATTGAACATTAGGCACTGAGAAAATGCCTTTAACCAAGCTGCAAAACATTATAAACGAACAAACTTCTTTATTTTTTATTAATAATCCCATTAAACCGGAAGGTCCTAATATTATTGTACAAATAGATGAAACCAAGTTGAATTGTAATGTTAAGAGTCATAGAGATAAACCTTTACAGGCCTGTTGGTGTTTCTGCATTGTAGAAACATCATTTAAACCTGCATCGGAAAAGCTACACTGTCGTAGAATCTAGATCTGCGTTCGTTCTTATTTCTATAATAAATCTTATTGCTAAAGCCGGAAGTATTATATACTCCGATGAATAGAAAGCTTATCTATCTCAGATGATTATGACTATTACACTGTTTGTCATAAGTACAACTTTATAGATCTATTAATAGCATAAATACCCAGCATGTAGAATCTTATAATAACAAGCATAAGGTTCAAATTAAGTCAAGAAAGTGAATGACTTTGGCTCAAAGAAAAATTTTCTATTAGAATTCATGTTTAGAAAGCAGAATACTACTGAAAAATTTTTTCCTTTATTGAACTATTAAAATATTTTTTTCACCGGGGGCTAAGAGAACCTAGGAGTTTTAACACGAGTTGCACCAAAAAGTATGACCTACAAATTTTTCGTTTTTTACCCTTAAAAATGAAATTTTGGGTGTTTAGAAAGAAAGAACTCAAAAGTTTGATTTTAGATAATTTATGGAAATATCTGTATTTACTGTAAAGAAGCAGTTAAATATGTTAGAAGAAACAAATATGAGTTTATGGGGTATAATAATAAATTTTACAAAATTTATAAAAAACAAATTGGTTTATGGATGCATTCAATTTTTTCGAATACTAAAATAAAAAAATATAAAGTTTTGAGAATAAGAGAACTGTGGCTTATTAAAGCCATCTATTGGTGTGATAGCATATATTTTAGGGATAAATAGAAACACGGTTTATTGAATTTTAAAAGACTTGTCAAAAATATTAGTTGATAAATTTTATAGTTATAAAAATTATGTTGGAAGTTCCGATGAAATAATAGAAATAGATGAATCAAAAATAGGAAAAAGGAAATACAATAAGGGATATCCAATTAACGGCGTGTGGATAATTGGTTTAGTTAAAAGAGGAGAAAAGGAAAAAACTTCATTATTTCAAGTAGATGATAGGACCAAGTGTACACTTCAAATAAAAATCAAAAATTTGGTAAAAAAAGGTGCAACAATTTACAGCGATTGTTAGAAAGGCTATAATAGCTTAAATGAATGTGGATATGTGCACAAAACTGTTAATCACAGTAAATGGTTTAAAGACTTGGCCAGTGGAGTTAGCATAAATACCATTGAAGGAACACGGCCTGGTTTAAAGGCTTATAACCTTTTAGATGTAGAACCAAAAAGCTTATTAATTCATGTATAATGAGATGCATGCTAATTAACAATTATAAAGATCATCCACCAATAACTTTTATTAAATCAGCTTCAATAAAAATTATTTATTACACACCTTTTTACTAAAAATTATTCGTTTAAAGCAATAAAATTAAAATTCAAGTTTTTGAGTTCTTTCTTTCTAAACATTTGAATTTCATTTTTAAGGGTAAAAAACGAAAAATTTGTAGGTCATACTTTTTATTGCAACTCGTGTTCTTAAACCAAGAACCTAATCACAAACCGGGGGACTGTAAGGATCTGATCCAAATATTTCGGTTTCTGTAACACTTTTCGGTGTAGGGAACTTGGGAGCTTCATTTTTCTTGATTTCCAATGGAGTAATGTCTACACCATTCAATGTGTCCTCTATCAGTTTTACTTCCCCCGGCAAGCTGTATTTTATTTAGATTTGGGTTCATATTATTTCCCTTTAATCTTCTAAAAACTTATCGCAACAACACGCCATGTTCTTTAATAGTATTTCTGTATAATAACTATATCGTCCATATAAATTTCTATCCCGTTTTCTTTCGAATCTCTAAAAATTCTATTCACAATCTTTTTAAAATTTGCGGCGAATTCTTGTAGCTCATGACCGTTGAATTTCATTTGTATACTTGCCTGTTAAATCCAACAACTGTCATAACTTGTCTTCTCCACCAATCTCAATGCCAAAAATCCTTTCTTTAACTCTACCACTGTTATTGCTTTTGCGCTATGCGTTGCTCTTATTACATCTCTTGTATTTGATAACCGATATTCATCTTTTTCTACCATATCATTTGGATCGATAAAACTACTTATCAATCTAAACTTTCTATTTGGTTTTTTTAGTGCCCTAACTGAAATTCTTTACGTTGATGTTTATTTCCTTATTACTTCTCTTCATAATAAATCTCCTAGTTGTTTTACTGTGTTTTCAATTTATGCTTGTGGCACCATCTGCCTCTTTTTAAAAACTTTTTTTCTTTCTTCTCTAGTAATTTTACATTTTTTTAATCTACAGTATATAATATTACTCGTATTCTACCCCAAAACTTCCTTAAATTCCCTTATATACTCTTTAAATTCAGTTTCTTCTTAATATAATCACCCCTGCTCACTTTGGTATAATACGACATTTTGTTTAACCTTCCACTCGTTTACTTTTATATTTTAAATTAATTTACTATTAATTTTTGTGGTATTCACCATTTTTTTATTTAACAAACAAAATAAAAAGATGTCAAGCCAATGGGGTTTATTAATAAATAATTTATCATAACTATACTTTAGGCAGGATTCGCTACCCTACAAATACGCCACTCACATATACAGTGCACGTCAAAATCTTAAGACACCTAAAAAAAAATTTTTTCCCATGCAAAATTAAACAAGATACAATTCTAAAATTATAATCGTATTTAAACATTGTAATTAAAATAATTTAAAGAATACCTTTTATTAAATCTTACTTTATATATGTCTAATCTGGTTTTTGATTTTTTTTGTCTTAAGTGGTGCGTCAAAATCTTAAGACACTCCCCTCAAAAACACGTTTTATAGAATTGTAAATATTACATTCGTTTTATTTTGTTACAATAAACTACTGCATGATTTTATTTTTTTGATATAAGCTACTACAAAACGCTTAAAAAAAACAATTAGTCTTACAATTAAACGGGACGTCTCATTAAACTCAAATTTTGAAGTACAAACACATGCTTAAAATAATGATATCTGTTATTTATTGTTTTTTGATTTAGAAAAGTCATTTTAAACTTCTTTAACTTTTCTTAGGGACATGATGGTTTTGATGTTTTTTTAAAAAAAATTATTTATCCCCTAAGGAGAAAAGGAAAATTTTTAGGTGAGTATGAAAAAGGACAGATTGATGCTTATTTTCAAATAGGAAAAAATATTAAGCAAATTAGTACTATATTGGACAGAAGCAGGACCGCAATTAGAAATTACCTGCCTTTAAAGAATGTAAATAAAATTACTAACAAAAAAGGAAGAAAAAGAACTCTTTCTTTTAGAACAGTTAAAAAAATTCAAAGTATGGGTTCTAATAAAGCCATAATTATTTCTAAAATTAAAGCTGATTTAGATTTATCAGTATCAAAATCTACTGTTTTAAGAGCAATTAAAGAAGATAATAATCTTGTTTATAAAAAAATGAGACAGAGTCCGAATTTAAAGGAAGTGCATAAATTA